CCAGGCGGCACTCGGCACGCATGCCAGGCAGCGTTCCGCCTGAGCCTCATCGCGCCAAAAACACTATCTCCTGCTGCAATATTCTGCAGAGCCGGCCTCGACGCGCGCTCGCGGTTCACCCGCGAGCCCGGGGCGCCGCGTGCCACCACCAGCGGCCGCAGCGCTGCTTCCAGAGCACCGCGACCGCGCCGCCGAGCAGCACGCCTCGTCGTGGAGGCGCCGAGGGAGTCCTTCTCCATGGTCCTCGAATCACTGGGCCGCCATATCGGCGGGCCGCCCCCCGCAGCCATCCAATGGAAGGCGCGCCCGCCGCCGCCGCCCAGCCGCCGACCATGGGCGAAAGGGCAGCGGAGAAAGCGGGGAGCACGGCTTGAGCAAAAATGGCTACGGAGGAGGCGTAGGAGAAGGAGGAGGAGGAGAAGGAAGAGGAGGGGGATGAAGAGGAAGAGAAGGAGGAGGCGGATAAGGAGGAAAAGGGAGAGGAGGAAAACGAGGAAGAGGATGAGGAGGAGGAGGAGGAATAAGTGAGAAGCATGAGAAAGAGGAGGGGAAGGATGAATACGAGGAATGCGGCACGTGGGAGGTGAGGAGAGGAGGAGGAAGAAGAGAAGAAGAAAATGCGTGGGTAGGCGTGGGTGGGTGTTGTGACTGTATGTTGTTGTGTTGGAGTATGTTGCTGTTTTGAGGTGTATATGTGTTTTGTGGGTTGGGATTGCTGCACAACAACAGAGCACTCATATCACAAAAAGTAAACTGGTACCAATTCCAACCGCGGCACCCATGCTGACTTCCAGAATGAATGTGCACCCTTAGGACGTTCATTTGATGTCTGGATCGTCTTCAAATGCTATACAAACGAATCCTATTGCAGGCCGGATAGCTGGTTCTAATTTGTACCAATTGGTCTTTTGGCCGGTTGAAGAGTGCCCCAGTCATTTGTGCACATGCGGTAAGCCCCACCCACCCCGTCTCGAACCGGGCGGAGGGGGAAGGCGGGGCGACGACGCCGCCGACGCCGACGCCGACGACACGACAGCTGCGGCGCCGACAGCGAAGACAACAACGACAACGAAGACGAGGACGACGACGCCGAGCACGACGACGACGACGACGAGGACGACGGCGGCGGCGGCGACGATGAAGACGACGACGACGCCGACGACACGACAGCGGCGGCACCGATAACGACGACAACAACGACGCCGACGCGCCGACGACGACGACAATGACGACGATGACGACGATGCCGACGCCGACGCCGACGCCGACGCCAACGCAGTTGCCAACACCGACGGCCGACGCGGTGGCCGACGCCGACGCCGAAGCCGACGACGACGACGCCAATTACGATGCCGACGGCGCCGGCGCCGACGCCGACGAGCACGACGCCCAGCACGACGCCCAGCACGACGCCCAGCGCAAAGACGACGCCGACGACGATGCCGACGACGAGCACGACGCCCAGCACGACGCCAAGCACGACGCCGACGCCGACGACGATGCCGACGATGACGCCGACGCCTACGCTGACGCCGACGCCTAAGAGCACGACACCGAGCACGAAACCGAAACCGACGTCAACGACGACGACGGCGCCGACGCCGACGTTGCCGCCGACGACGACGACGCTGACGCCGAGCACGATGCCGACGACGCCGACGCCGAGGCCGATGATGGCGAGCACGACGCCGACATCGACGCCGGACATGATGCCGACGCCGGCATTGACGCCGACGCCGACGCCGATGCCGCCGACGACGACGACGCCGACGCCGACGCCGCCCACGACGCCGACGACGCCGACACCGACGCCGACAACGCTGACGCCCACGACGACGCCGAGCACGACGCCGAGCACGACGCCGACAACAATGCCGGCGCCGGCGCCAGGGCCGACGCCGACGACGATGCCGCCGAAGACGCCGCTGCCGAGGGCGACGACGACGACGACGACGCCCAGCGCCGACACCAACGGCGAAGCAGACACCAGAGCCGAGCACGACGCCGACAACGACGCCGACGCCAGCGCTGGCGACGACGCCGAGCACGACGCCGACAACGACGCCGATGCCGGCGCCGGCGACGACGCCGAGCACGAACATGAAGCCGACGACGCCAACGCCGTCAACGACGCCGACGCCGACGCCGACGCCGACGACGACGCCGACGATGACGACGGCGCCGAGCACCACGCCGAGCACGACGCCGACGCCGACGACGCCGACGCGGACAACGCCGAGCACGACGCCGATTACGACGCCGAGCACGAAGTCGACAACGACGCCGACGCTGGCGCCGACGCAGACGCCGACGCTGATGCCGACGACGACGACGACGACGACGACGCCCGGTGGCGACACCGAAACCGACGCCAATGCCGACGCTGGCGCCAAGCACGAGACGCCGACGTCGACGACGACGACGACGATGACAACGATGACGACGACGCCGCCGCCGACGCCGACGCCGCCGCCGACGACTCCGACGACGACGACGACAACGACGCCGAGCACGACGACGGCGCCGACGCCGACGCTGGCGACGACGACGACGACGCTGAGCACGACGACGGCGCCGACGCCGACGCTGGAGACGACGACGACGACGTCGAGCACGACGCAGTCGTAGCCGCCCCTCAGTTCCGAGCCTGGGGGGGACCCTACAACCTACCACAGAAAGCGCTCTTTCATATATTTCGTAATAGTGGTCGCACATATTCTCTTCTTTTTTGTTTTTCCTTATCTCTCCAACCTCTGGTGGGATCTGCTCGCAGCTCTCTGACCCCCTGCAACTGCTCTTTACCACGAGAGATCCAGGCGCTGGGCCACAACAGAGACATCTGGAGCCCCAGAACACTACACTGACAGCAGACGAACGCGTTCCACTACTCGCAAGATAAATGCTCGCAAATGGCCTGGATCTGCCGCGGGGGAGCTACGCTGAATTACATCGAAGCAAACATGTGTATGTGTGTGTGTTCTGACGTTTGCGAGTAGGCACTTTGCGAGTAATGGAACGCGCTCTCTGAGACAGGAACCCAGACACGGGATCTGGGAAGCTAGAAACCCACCGAACCTGACGCTGCCAGGGACCCTGGCCTCGGCACCGGGATCCAGGGACCCGAGAAACCAGCGGCCAACCGAACTGGGAACCTGGGAGGCCAACCAACTATACACTGCCGGGAACCCTTATAGAGGACAGATCATCCACCCCCATCATAATCACCCCGACAAGCGAAGCCGATTAGTAAACGCGCCCAAAAAAAGGGATCGAACAAGGCGGGGCTGTTTAGCAAACGCCCAAGGTGGTTGACTAAATGTCAATTGTCGGGTCTGGGTGGGTTTTCCTCTCTTGACCTTACCCAGGCACCCTCTGAAATGGACCCGGAACCCGGAACCAAGGAACCCGGGAATCCGGAACCGGGAACCCAGGAATCCAGACGCAGACGCCCACCGAAATCGACCCTGCGCTTTCGCCCAATCCTTCGGTATACAGTCTAAGCGAGGACCCTTTCAGTGCAAGCACTGATGATTGGGGAATCACACATCTCCTAGCGGGGAGGGCGAGCTCAGACAAGCATAAGGGCAGGTAGACCCAAACGGGCGGTGGGTTGGCTCGGGCCGACTCTGACACCCAGAGCCGCACTCTCGTAGGAGCATCAACACCAGGTCCTCCTCCTCCTTCTCCTCCCCCTCCTCCTCCTCCTAATCTTCCTACAGGTCCTTGGAACATTAGGTGGATCAGCAATCAGCAAAGACAAAGACGTCAGCCCAGCCAGATACACGAGCATGCCCCCAGTTCGCGAGGCCGCCCTCACGCTGCGAACGCTGGGGTATGCTCGGGCATCAGGGTCTCTTGAACCCCATGTGAATCAGTGTGCACGCACGCCTTTGAGCAATTCGCTCCTGAAACGTTGGCACCAGCACCACCAACGCAAGGAGCAGTGGAGGGTTCTCGTCGGTGTGGTGTCGCTATCCTCTGAGTCGTCCCGATCGGGGCATATCCAACCTGCAAGCTCGGGAAGACATCATTGAAAACATAGCCAGGGGTGTCGTCTCTTCCGCCGACCCAAGAGCTCTCGCGCTGGATGTGTTGTTTTCCCAATGTGATACAGAAAGCCGTCCGGTGGCCATTGGCTAGGGAACGCGGCATGAGCATGGGGAAAAGAGGGGTGCAAACGGAAGGGGAAGGCATGGTAGGGGGTGGGACAATGCCCTCCCAGGCAGGAAGGCTAACAGAAATAACACCTGGGACCTTTAAAAGTCGATATCCATTCTTGTATTGCTGGGCGCGGCGCGTGTTCTTGAATCCAGAGCGACTGCGAAACCACTCCATAAAATGCCACCGCCAAAAACATTCGACTGTGAAGAGTGCCGTTAAAAAAAGACTCAACCCGAAAGCGCTCGCAGCGCTGGCAGGCAAGCAAATGAGAGTATGCACTGCTTTAGCAGGGGACCAACAAACATATACAATGTGATGGCGAAGTAGCGCGATGCTGGAGTCGGACTGAGATATCATGTTGCCGAGGCTTGAGGCTGTCCTGCTATAGGTACAGACCTCTGGGAGAGTATGTCAAAGCACCCTGGATGGGCGTGGAGGCACAGAGGATCGTAGTTCATGGACCTTCAAATATTACTCAAACATAGCCCTGCAGAACAGTGGGTCTAGAAAGCAACTAGAATCATTTATTGAGATAGATGATCTGGCGCCAACTAGCCTTCCATAACCAACCAGCCCTCTAGAACAATGCCCACCTTTGTCGTCAGTCGTGCGGAAGGTTGGGGAAGCTGCTGAACGGGCAGTGGGAGGATGGAAAGAACGGGCGAAAAAGGAGGTAGGGAGGAGAGAGAACGAGGGGAAGCGGAGGGAGTGGAAAGGGAGGGAGAGGGGAGAGTGTCGGACCAACCGAGGCTAAAGGGGCAAGACTTTGCGCGCAACGAATTGTCGAGTCGAGGCATGCCCGAAGTGTACAACAACACAAAGGACTCAATGGAATCGTATCGCTTTTGCCATGTATGTTTGAGTGTCACGCCACGCGTCTGCGCTCCTGGTTCGTCCTCCTGACCTGGGCACGCCAAGCGAGAGCAATGCCACGACGGCCGCTACTTCCGACGGCACACCGTGGAGGGCATCCGCCGGTCGACGAAGCGGCGAGGGGAAGTGAGCGGGGGCATGCCTTCTCAGAAGGCAGCGCGGGGCCTCCGAGAAACCCTCATAGGGAAACGAAGAATGACATAAACATAAAAAATCGGAGGTCCGCGCGGCTTTCTCGGATCGGCGTTGGACCCCCTCCCTGGCGCGCGGAACGCGCCAGGGGCGGCGCCGGAGCCGCCGCCAGGGGGCCCAAGCGCGGATCCGAGAAATCCGAGCGGACCTCCGAGTCTTTACGTTTAATCGCCGGCCTAGAGGTTGACACCAACACCAATATCAGCGGTGTGCCTCCACCGAGGGAAGAAGATCCCGATCTCGGTGATGATGGTAATATTCTGGCTTTCAAGGTGGTCGAAATATTACCACCAACACCGAAATCTAGGATCACCTTCCCCCTGTGCAGGCAATCCCCTGTCTTGGTGTTGGTGCCCATTTCCAGGCCTCAGATTTCTGTCATTCTTTGTTCCCCTACCTCAGGCCCTCTGAGAAGCCGTCCCCGTCGCCAGAGCAGGCTCAGAACGCCTCGCAGACTGCCGGAGGCCTGTATGAGAGCCTTCTGCGGAGGCCCGCCCGCAACCGCCTGCTCCCCGCGGCGCGCCGCGGAGCCCCGGAGCAGAGCGGGCGACGCAAGCCAGGGAAGGAATTAGCGGACACTCTTAGATTTCGGTGTTGGTGGTAATAGTTCGGTCACCTTGGAAGCCAGAGTATTACCACCATCACCGAGACCGAGATCGCCTTCCCTCGGTGGAGGCACACCGTCGATCTTGGTGTCGGTGTCAACCTCTAGGCCTGCAACACTCATGCCGCATTCATCTGTCAATGCCCCCCGCCCAATGATCAGTGTTGGCTGTGGGGTGAATGAGCTGCACTTCGACCGCGGTCTGCCCCGCTTCGAGTTCGGGTGGGCGGGGGGGGTCCACTGATTGTTTCCCTCTGCCGCAGTGGTACCAGCCAGAACGCGCGACAGCCGCTTCTTACAAGAGGGCGCGTAGCATCCTACCGGCGCGGGATCGGTCTTTTGCCGAGCAGACTCGGAATCAGTAAAGTACGCCTGCCGACAGCCTTCGACCAACAGACTGCGAAATGAGGAACTACGGTGAAGTCGCAAGACTAAGATGGTGACACCCTTGCGCTTGTAAAACGAACGTGTATGTAAGTGTCTGACGCGTGCTCCAGCTGACCCTCTTGTAAAACACCACCTCCGCCGCCGTTCTGTTGGCACTGAGTGGGGTGTCCTCAGGTCCCTTCGAGTTCTGTGCGCTGAGCAATGCAACTACACTTTCGACGCTCCAGATCCCCAATACACGAATATGTTAGGACTTGCAGCGTGCCTCGTCGCAACTCACGGTCAGTGTGAGCTTGTCGCGTGGCGTTGCGCGAGGCCAGAAAACCCAAGAGGGTCCTCAGGGAACCCCAAGACAGCAATATTGGGCCACGGGACGGTGAACGCTTCAAGACGGCCCATGATGGTCTCAGGACGCCCCCCCCCGAAGCTCCCATGCCGCGCAGACAGGGCCCCCAAGGAGACCCCAGGAGACAACAGCCATGTTTTGTTTTCATCGTTGTATTCGAATGCGTTGAGAATATTTCTGCTTCAGGCCTCCGACACCCTAGGACAGCCAACGGCTCTTTTCTCGAACACGGCTCACAAAACCCAGGACCTCCAACATGACCCCAATAGGCTCCCTACACGCACCCACGAGGCCCCTGCGAGGAACCTTGGAAGCCTCGAGCAGGCCCACGACAAGCACATCAAAAGACCCGAGAGACGCTAAGCACCATCATCCAAGACCCGCGAGCAACGTATGGTGGCGATATGAACCGAAGGCCACTAGATCCACTGCCCCAATGTGGTTTGCCTCAGGGGTGCACGGCGTGCCAAACGTTGGGTAATTGTTTTCATATGTGTTCCCCCCAACAAAGTGGTTGGCACCAGAGGCGCTTACTTCTGTCTTATGGAACTGGCTTTGGCTGGCGGTCTGGCGGTTTTGTTGTCGCCGCCGGGGCCGCCTTGTCGTCGCCCGGGCTGGCCGTCAGGCGCGCTTTTTGTCGCCGTCGACGCGCGTCGCCGCCGTCCGTCCCCGATGCTTCCGTGCTTGGCTCACGGTCGCCGCGCCTGCTGTCGCAACTTATGGGCCGGGCTGGCTGTCGCCGTGTTTATGGTCACCGTCGCCGCCCGCCGCCGCTGCTGCATCGCTTACCCCGCATAGATTGCACTGGATGGACTGCACCGCTTCGATTGCACCTCGCAGATCGCACTGGATATATTGCACCACCTACACTGCACTGCGAAGATTGCACTGCTTAGACAGCACCACATACGTTCTCTGTCCCACAAGAAGAATAGAGTCAAACCTTATCCCCAGGATCACGCGTCCTTTTCTCCGTATTACAATTGACATATGATTCTGCCCCACCGTCCATCCTAGATATGAACCCGTATCATCCCAGGGGGACCGGTGTCGACCTCCCCCCCCGCCATCCTCTGGAAAAAACGATGCGCACGCACTCGCTTATCAAAAACCATCAGCTTCCGTGATTCCCGTGCAACAAGTGAGACGAACTGCGCACGCGCGCGTCATCGCGCGCGCATGCCGAAATCCTTCAAAAAGCTTCAGGTTGCTGAAGGATGACAAAGTCGAGTGTCCAAAAACCAAATCAAAAATACATGGTTTCACAACAAGGATGTTCAAACAAAGTTTGCGCTCGCACTCTTGCGAATTCTTAGGAAAACCATGTGTTGTTTCAGCATGCTCGTAAACTGTTACCAAGCGGGCTTCGCGCTCGCGCATGTCGAAATCATTCGAACGCCCTTGCCCGCGTGCCATTGCAAGAATCCTTTCCGCGAAAAACTGGACGAAGTTCACGCGCGCGCGTCGTCGCGCGCACGCGCATGCCAAACTCAGTCAAACTAATTAGGTGTCGTAGAGAAAATTCTTGGTTCCGCAACACCCGTTTTCAAACAAAAAACTGCGCTCGCGCTCTGGTAAATCCTTCGGTCGCAAATTTTTGCTGCTAGACAGCAACCTGTTTATTGAATTCTGCCAAACGGGCCTCTCGCGCCGCATGCAAAGCCCGAGGAGGCCAAAGAGGTTCCTCAGAGGCCCCCAGGTAGCGCCCAGTAGGTCTCCTCTTCCTCCTGTCTCTCTTCGCGTTTCCTCCCCCCCAACTTGGGGGGAACGCGCAAGGGCCCCACAACGCCTGGGGGAGCCTTTAGTCCAATAGTTTGGCCTGAATTTGGGCCAACCTTGTGCCAGACAGGCATTCTCAAAAGGCAGGGGGCGGCGGTGGTTCACCCAGAAATCGATACCGCTGAATGGATCACAAATGCCGCCCTTGCTTCCCGCTACAGCATGTCCCGAAGTGGCACCACTCGATACCATTCACTTAACGACGACCGTGGCCACTGGGAGCACGCCCGACTTGCCTGTTGGCAATGTGAACACTTCGATCGTAGGTTCGCCTACGGGCACCCCCTCTGACAACTGCCGAATTATGACGGTCCCTCTGGAAGCGCCCATTGCGCCGGCGCTGAAATATTTGACGCCGACCGTGTAGCTGCCGGGCTTCCGTCCCTGGAGCGCGACAACTTCAGGCCCGAGGCCTTGAGTCTGATCGCTGTACAGCCGAAGGCCCCAACTCGTCGATGGATTGCTGTAGTAGCACTCCTCGCCGTTCGGGTCGACGACGTGGAGGTCGACGTCGTTTGCGTCGGTGAGCCACGACATGGTGATCAACAGGCCGATGCCCCTGCCCTCGTTCACGTCCACGGCCTTCAATGCGCCCTCAGCGTAACTCTGGAACGGGGCCGCCTGCTGGCTGGCCTCGAGGCTGCGGAGGAAGATTGCGGCCTCTGGGATGACCAATCAAATACCGATACCGCAGTATTCCAAATCTCTCATTAGTCGTCCCCCGGGTCCGGTTTTCAAAGGCGCCTTCTTTTGTAACTGGGGGATCCGGTTTAGCAGGGCGTTTTCTTTGGATTGGAGCTTAGGGGGTCTGATTTATCAGGGCGCCCCGTCGAAGAGGGGGGTCTGGAACATGAGGTCGCATTTGGAGGGGTGTCCGGTTTTTTAGGGGCAAGGGATTTGGAATTCCACCCGGGCCTCTCACAGGGTGCCTTCTGACCAGAATTCGTAGGAGATGCCGGCCGCGGCGACGGGGGCTCCCAGAAAAACGAGCAAAGGGCAGCGGTGTCCTCTCTCCTCCCCCGGAGCCTCCTCGCGGAGCACGCGCTGGACGTCCCCGTAGCGGTCGTGGAACTCTGCCCCGAGGCCCAGCGCGTAGGCGTCGGCTGCGGCCGCGTAGTCGCCGGCGTGCCAGGAGGACATCGCCAGCGCGCGGTAGACGTTCGGGTTGTCGCTCCGCTCCTCGAGCGACCGCTGGGCGAAGCGCTGCGCCCACGCGGGCGCGTCGGGCAGGTCGAGGGACAGCGCGAGCCAGGACGCGCGCAGGAGCTGCTCGGAGTCGCGGGGAGCGACCTCAGCGATGGCCGGCGGCGCTCACCAACGGGATGGCGCGAGAGGTGAGTGGTTAAACGATCCCCATCCCCAGCGGCGTGGCCTGGGCCCCACTGGCCGATGTACCCCCCTAGATGGGGATATAGGCCGTCCCCTTCGGGTTTCGAGGGATTTATCCCCAACTGGGGGGGGTAATTTGGTGGGGATCTCGAAGTGGACGGGGATGGGGATGGGGATCGGATAGAGGATACTGAGAGAAGCTAGGGGAAGGGAGGGTCTGAGATGGCGAGCGGCTTCTCAAAACCCTCCCGGCTTCTAAGAGACTTCTCAGAAGCCTCGCCGCAGGCGTCGGAGCGCCGCTGCGGGAGGGGGGCTCCTCCCTCGCCTCCGCCTCCTCCGCCTCCTCCTCGTCCTGCGCCTCCTCCTCCATCGCCTCCTCCTCCTCCTCCTCCGCCTCCGCCTCCTCCTCCATCGCCTCCTCCTCCTCCTCCTCCTCCTCCTCCTCCTCCTCCTCCTCCTCCCCCCCTTCTCTCTGGGCCACCCAACTTCGCGCATCGCGCCCCGCGGTGCGCGACGCGCGGTTACCTCCGCGCCCTCGCGCCGCCCCCCCTGGAGAGGGGCGCCTTGCCAACCCAGGCCGCGGAGCGCGAGTGTCGTCGCGCCCCTGGAGGTGACTCACGCCTGCTGAAGAAGCCGCTCGCGTTCGTAATATCAGGTCGGGGCCTGTCCTCCTACGGGCAGATGTTGGATGATTGCTTTGGCAAAAACAAATATTCAACAATGGTCAACAATAGTCGAAGCATCGTTCCCGTACTATTTTGTGACTATTTTTGAATATTCCTCCTGTAGAGGGACACGCCCGACTTAATCGTGGTACAAGGCCGCCCCCCTCGCCCCAACCCCGTGCGCGCGCCGCCAAGATGGACGTGGCCGCCCGCAGGGCCGTCCTGGCCTGGCCGAGGTGGCCCGCCGCCTTGCCGAGGTACTCGAAGGCTAGGCCGTTGGCGGGGTCCCAAGCGATCCACCCCGCGCAGAAGCCGCGGAGCTCGGAGGCCCTGCGCTTCGTCCAGAGGGCTCCCGCGTACGCCGTCGCCGTCTCCCGCAGCCTGTCCTCTCGGGCTCGGAAAAGGAAAAGGGACGAGGAGGAGGAGGAGGAGGAGGAGGAGGAGGAGGGAGAGGAGGAGACGAGCGTAGAGAGGGCCGTCCTGTCTAGGAGGGAGAGGAGGAGGAGGAGGAGGATGAGGAGGAGAGGAGAGGAGGGGAATGAGGAGGACGAGGAGGAGGACTAGGAGCGGGAGGAGGAGGAGGAGGAGGAGGAGAAGGAGGAGGAGGAGGGAGGAGGGAGGAGGAGGAGGAGCAGGAGGAGGACCAGGAGGAGGATTAGGGGTAGCAAAGGGGAGCGGTAACGATGGGGGTGAACTGGCTCAGGGGGGGACAGCCGACCTGGAGTCGGCGATACATCGCCGATTCATCGGCGATAGACCCCCGATTTAGCGAATCCGCACGCTGGGCGAGGTGGCCGATCAGGCTCCTGTCGACGGTCAGTGGGCGATTGGGGGTCGATGCGATCCCCCCTGGGCCTATCCCCCCCTAGCATTGCCCCTGAGGTTAGCGAATCAGCTCACGCAGCTGGTTCTCCTGGCGTCTCCCTTCGCCAGAGGCAACAAAGTATCGAGGAGAGCGCCCAGCGGCAGGGCTGAAGCCAGCTGAATGCAGCAGAGTTCTTGCCCCCCCCCCCTTCCCTATCCCCCCCCCTTGCGTCCGACCCAATCCTCGGGCGGGCTCGGCTGGTTTGCCAGGGTGGCCTCGGCATCCTCCTCCAGGTCTACCCAGTTCGAGCCAGTCTGGCACGCCAGCAGCGCCAAGACCACCACAAGCCACATCGGACAGGTGCTCCGCCCAGAGTTGGCCTGCGTGCCAGTGTCGCTGTACACAGCACCAGTCTCCTCATTAAGAGCAAAATCGCCGTCGTCCGCATTCTCTAAGCACACCATGGAGTTGAGATCATCACACGACGCCGACTCGTTTACACTTGAGTTGGGTGTGGGAACAACGACTGGGTCGATGGGAACTGGGTCTGGCAAAGCTGGCAAAGACATGTCGCTGCGCGAGACAAGCTGCACGCCGGTGCCCGTCACAACCAGGACGGGTGACAAGCTGTCCTGAGCGATCCCGAACCGGGCATAGTCCTCGTCTGTCTCCAGAACGAGCAGCGCGGTGTGCGGACACAACACCCTGCTCTGCTCAGAGAGCTGCACCATCTCGTACTCGATGCTGCGGGCTTCTGCCGCGCTCGTAGAGGAACAGACAACGGCATAAACATACACTTTTTTGGAGGGCCGCACGGATTTCCTGGATCGGCGCTGGGCGCCCCTCCCCAGAGCGCGCCAGAGCTGGCGCCAGAGGCGCCGCCAGGGAGGCGAAGCGCGGATCCAAGAAAGCCGCGCGGGCCTCCGAAGGATTATGCTTACGTTGTGTTTGTTCTTCGATCTAGGCGAGAGCTGCCGCTCGCTCTCCAGCAGCTCCAACCGAGCGCGATCCACCTCGCGGGACAGCATGGAGCTGAAGGCAGCAGAGGCTGCCTGGATCGGGCCTGCGATAAGCGTCGCAGACGCGTTCCCGCTGCCAATCTCGAGCCACGGTGGGTCCAGGGTGAGGCCGTCGCCGCCGCCGCTGAACACGATGAGCTCGTCGCCTTCGTGAAGATCGGATGCTGCCGGCAGGAGGGAGGAAAAGCTGCACTCACATGGACGTTCGGAGGTCCGCACGGGTTTCTTGGATCGGCGCTGGCCCCCCCTGGCGGCACCAACGGTGCCGCTCCTGGCGCGCCCCGCGCGCCATGGCTGCGGACACAGCGCAGATTCAAGAAATCTGCGCGGACCTCTGAAAGTTTATGTTGACGCTGCGTTTTCTTCTTCGAGCTAGAGGCCACGCCCATCCGCTCGAAACCTCTGGAGTGGCATGACGCCCCAGGGGCCTCGTGAACTCAGACCACGCATCGGCAACCACCGTTGGCAAGTCCTGCGAAGTCAGGGGGATCCGCACGACCCGGCCGTAGCCCGCTGCCGCGATTGCACCTCCAGCGGAGCTGTCGAACTTGGTCCCCATAACGCCGATCTCAACAACTCGCCCTGGGTTTGGCGTAAGCATCTGTCCGAGCTTCATTGCAGCCCGCTCGTTCGCAGTAGCTATCATGTCGCTCAATATCAAGACACCGACTGTCCCATGTCCTCCGCTCGAATTAGTCTGACCTTCGAGGTGCTCCATCAGCATCTCGAGATCTGTGGCTCCGAGTGGGAGTCGATCTTCAAGGGCTGACTGCACTGTGCTGCCGATTGTTGAATCTTTTGGGCCCAGGGCCCGAACCTCTACGACTTCTATGTCGAACGCAAATACCTGGACATCTGACGAAGGCATGGCCTCAAGAAGCGCTGAAATCAACGGCAAGCGGACCAATGATGCATCTGCGGTCGACGCGGACGTGTCAATGTAGACGATCCAGACGGGAGGTGCAAATTGACGCAGCGCATCAAAACTCGATGACACCACGGTATCGTCTCCAACAACGAAACTTGAGACCAACTTTCCGCCGTCCACTGAGAAAGCGCCTATTGACTGACCAAGCTCCCAAACGTCCAGTACAGCATCTGTGGCGGGAGTGAGCTTCATCGATGAGTTTGGCACGAATCGAATGGTGTTGCTGCTGGGGTCCTCGACTCCAGGCACCTGCCCGAACCCTGGGAGCGAGCAGTTCGCGCCAAAGGACGTGCTGCCGAACGCGCTGACAGCAGCAGCGAACGTGAACTCGTGAATCTCGGGCAGGCCCGCCAGAGGCAACACCAGCGTGCGGTGTGAGCCACGCAGCGGAGCCAAGATCGCATAGGACAGGATGAACCAGGGGTCTCACAAACAAAAAAACATTTTGCTTGTTTGATTCAAATTCTGGAGCGTCTGAGAAACGAAAGCGGCACGACCGATCTCCCCAAACAGCGCTCTGGCGCAGATTCGAAGTCACTGGCCAATGTTGGGCCCCAGGATGGAAACCACACGAAAACGAAATGAAAGCGAAAACGATCCACGAGATTGCAGAAACAACGTTTTAGTCTACCCTTAGGTCGGGCGTGCCCCCTACAGACGGAATTTGCAAGAAAAACTATAAATAGTCAAAACAATATCAAATAATGCTCAACAATACTCAAAAAGTCGTCCCCCTTACTAGTTCTAACTAATTTTGAATATTCCTACTGTAGAGGAACAGGCCCGTCTTTGTCTACCCCTGGGATGAGCCTGACGACCGCCCGCGGCTCGATCGGGAAGACGCGCGCCGTGAAGACGTTGCCCTGGCTCTGCTCCAGCAGCGCGGGGTCTCTCGCCTCGTGCAGGATCTCCCGACACAGGAGGAAGAAACAACAGCATAAGCATAATTACATTGGCGGCGCGCACAAGGGGGTGCAGGGAGGGAAGAAGGCTTCTTAGGAGGAGGCTGCTTCTTAGAAGGCGCCGGCCTCACATCTGTAGATAAGGCCCGCGCCTTCTAAGAAGCAGGGGTGCTTCTAAGAAGCCCTCCCCCCTCCCCCCATCCCCCTCTGCGCGTGGCTGAATAAACATTCATTCGGAGGTGTCCGCGCGAACTCCTCGGATCGGCGCTGGATCCTCCCGACGGCATCTGCGGCGGCGCCCCTGGCGCGATTCTGCTTGTGCTGAAGGGATCCCAGCGGTCCTAGCGAAAATTGAAAGATTTAGCGAAAGTGCCCCGCCGATTTTGGTGGCCGGCTGGGTTCCCGGGTTCCTGTTCCAGGTTCCCGGGTTCCTGGTTATTTGTTCTGGGCCGATTTGAATGGGTTCCGGGTTCCCGGTCGATCTCCTTATCGATCAAACCATCCACTGATTGGGTTTTTCCTCTGGTGTAGTGCTTATGTTTTTCGTTCCTCCGAGATATACGCTCTGAGCCTTGGACCTGTTGACCACTTCGCCCTCCATGAGCCGGCCCTCTATCTGCATGGCGAAGCGGCTCGGAGCGGCAGGGCCGGCGGGCCCCACCGGGAGGGAAAACGAGAAGCGCCCCTCCATTCGTCGCTCTTCGGGGTTTTGGAAAACAATCTCGTTCTCGACGAAGCCGAAGGGGCCGAACAGGACGGCATCAACTGCCAGCCGGAGGAAGATCAGGTCCTGCCCCTCTGGATTCTGCAGCGACACGGCAGGCCCTGCCCCAACGGAGCAACGCAAGGCTGCCAACACCAAGATGCACCATCCGACCCCGACCCACGTGCGACCTGCCGATCTCGCGAGAGGAAGCATCCCCAAGGAATCTGGGGAACAACCTCTGCAATGCCAAATGCTGATCGATCAAAGCTTCAGCAAAAATGGTGAAGGAATTGAGCTGCATCGTGCTCGGTCTGTCTGTCCGCGCATCCGCCCGTACGTGCCCGCCTGGCTACGCTTCTCTCGGCATCGGCACTCGCCTTCGCCTAGACTTATACCTTCTCTCATCGTGCCTGTGATGGTGCCTGTATCGGCCGCTCTGTCTCTCTAACAGTCCGTGCGTTCCTCGTTGACGCGTCTGCCCCTGCACGTACCCGTCGGACTATGTCGGTTGTGTGTGCATGCGTGTGTATGTGCATGTCTCTGGTTCGCGTACCTTCTGTCTCTGCCTCTCTGGCTCCCTGTTTCTATACATATATATATATATACATACATACTAGAACCACACGCGCGCTTCGCGCACGCTTCGCGTGGTTCGTTCAACCTTAAACGAACGGCGGCCTTGCGATCGAAGAACCATTCCATGTTTGCCGATGCCACTGGCGGCGTTTAACCTTGAACGCCCGCGGCGGGGTCGCCGGGACGTCAGCGCGACGCGAACCCACCGTGCCCTGAGGCCAGAGAGGGCCCATTGATCCAGACATGATCTCGACGTAGTTTCCAGCAGGCCGCAGGGCAACCTCAAGGCGGCCAAACATTACACATGCAACGGGCGATCAAGAGATGAATAACTCAATAACCATGCAATGGCCCCAAGGCGGGCCCAAAGTGGCCAAAGCAATACCAGAGCAAGACACCATGAACACAGCATGGCCCGGATGTGCTCTCACAGTGGCTCCAACACAACGCCAATCCGAAATCCGCCGACCCCTTGGGGTTCATCGGCGCGTGAGATGTTTCCCCCTCCCCAAACCCCTCCGTCGGGCGCCCAGTCGGATCGATTTGGAGGGGAGGGGGGGGTCCCCACGGGTGGTGGGTGAACGCATCCGGGGGGGCAAAGGATCCCAAAACAGGTCAGGAGGGCCCCAAGAGGCCGTTTGGGCGGTTCACGAGGGCCACGAGTCGCTGAAAATCGATCCCAAACGCACGCGCAGGCCTCCAGACCGCCCAAGAGGCCCCCAAGACGCCCCAAGAAGCCTCCAAGAAGCGTCCCAAGAGGGCCTCCAGAAGCAAAAATCGCCTCACCCCCTTGGGATCATGCGCATGTTTTGCACATTCGCCTTTTGGGCGTTCACAACGTCCCAGACGGCCCAAGAGGCCTTCCAGTTCGCCCCAAGACAAGCCAAGAGGCCCTCAAGAGGGCTCCAAAACGACCCAGGAGGGTCCCAAGACGGCCCAAGAAACCCCCAAGACGGCCCAGGAGGGCCCCAAGACAGCCCCAACAAGGGGCCCAGAAGGGGAACCCAAAGGGACATTTCGAGTCATCCACCCCAAGTCGCCTCCGGGTTGCCACAAGGAGCCCCCAACTGACACCCAGGGAGCCCCAAGATGGCCGCAAGAAAAAACCCAAGAGGCCCCAGAAGGCCCCGAAGAGGTGCAAACACTGCCTCCAAGACGCCCCCGAGACGCATCCCACGAGACCCCATCAGCCATCCGAGTGGCCTCAGACTCGCAACCCAGGTACGGTGGCGCGATGTGCTGAAGGCCATGCGATAATCAGTAGCCAAGTGTTTTGCCAAATGCCCTCCGTCTGTATACGTGGGTTCTCGTCGAGTATCCCACGCGTGCTCGTTACCCCGTGACGTGCCCAACCCATGTGCATCAAGTGACAAGAGGAATTGGCGCAAACTTGCCAAGACAATGGGCGTGCAAGCGCCGTTATCCGTTGTGCAAGCTACATGGGGTGCGCTCACGTGGCACGATTCACAAGACAACCACAGAAAGCCGAGGAGCGAGGGCCCAAGCTTGAGGAGGACATGGGGGCGGGAACGAAGGGCAGGAGAAGGACGCGCGGGGGGCTGAACCGTCAGCCCGGCAGCAGCGGAGGGAAGGTGGCAGGGGCAGGGGACGACGACGACAGTGACGGGAGGAGACGGAAGAGTGTTGCTTTTGTCGGTAGTACGCGAAAGATGCAGCGCTGCCTGCGCCATGTCGCCGCGGCGGGCGAAAACATATCAAACCTGCTTAACATTATAGTGCAAGAACCGCGCTGGCGCCGCCGCGGCAGCACGTGCTGGACCTCCTCCCTCGGTTTCTCCTCCTCCTCCTGTTCTTCCTCCTCCTCCTCCTCCTCCACCTCGTCTTCCCCCCCCCTCCTCCTCCTCCTCCTCCTCTTCCTCCTCCTCCTCTTCCTCCTCCTCCTCTGCCTTTATTCCTCCGCCGCCTCTGGACCTCTCACGAGCTATTCCTGCACCCCTGCCGGGCTTCTGACGACCCCGGAACTGAACCAACCCCCAGGTAACAGAACAAGGCGTCATTCCGCTGGGCCCCAGGGATGGCGAGGTCTCCTGGTGGTCCGCGTAAGACGTCACTCCAGTGGACCCCCCAGCAACCCTCGAAAGTGGCGACAGTTTCACAGATCACAGCCCCCCAGGTATGGCGAGGTCTCCTGGTGGTCCGCGTAAGACGTCACTCCGCTGGACCCCCCGGCAGCCCTCGGAAGTGGCGACAGTTTCACAGATTGCAGCCCCTCAGGGATGGCGAGGTCTCAGCTGAATCTGGGTAAGACGTCATTCAGCTGGGCCCCCCAACAGCCCTCGAGGGTGGCGACAGTTTCGCAGATCACAACCCCACAGGCCCCCCAGGCATGGCGTTGCCTGCTGGTGGTCTGGCGAAGACGTCGCTCCGCTGGACCCCACAGCCGCCCTCGAAAGTGGCGACAGCTTCGCAGATCGCAGCCCCCCGAGGGACGGCGAGGTCTCATCTGAATTTGGGTAAGACGTCACCCCGCTGGGCCCCCCAGCAGCCCTCGAAAGTGTTGACGCTTTCGCAGATCGCAACACCTCAAGGATGGCGAAGTCCCATCTGAATCTGGGTAAGCCGTCACTCCGCTGCGCACTCGAATGTGGCGACAGTTTCGCAGATCACAGCCCCACAAGGATGGCGAGGTCTCCTGGTGGTCCGCGCAAGACGTCACTCCGCTGGACCTCCCAGCAGCCCTCGAAAGTGGCGACAGCTTGCAGATCGCAGCCCCACTAGGATGGCGAGGTTTCATCTGAGTCTGGGCAAGACGTTATTCCGCTGCACCTCCCAGCAGTCCTCGACAGTGGCGACAATTTCGCGGATCGTAGCCCCCCAGGGATGGCGAGGGCTCCTGGTGGTCCGCGTCAGACGTCACTCCGCTGAACACCCCCCGCAGCCCTCGAGGGTGGCGACAACTTCGCAGATCGCAGCCCCCCAGGGATGGCGAAGTCTCTGGGTGGTCCGCGTAAGACGTCACTCCACTGGACCCCACGGCAGCCCTCGAAAGTGGTGCAAGTTTCACAGATTGCAGCCCCGCAAGGATTGCGAGGTCTGATCTGAATATGGGTAAGACGTTATTCCGCTGGGCCCCCCAGCAGCCCTCGAAAGTGTCGACGCTTTCGCAGATCGCAACACCTCAAGGATGGCGAGGTCCCGTCTGACCCGGGGTAAGACGTCACTCCGCTGAACTCCCCCGCAGCCCTCGAGGGTGGCGACAGTTTCGCAGATCACAACCCCACAAGGATGGCGAGGTCTCCTGGTGATCCGCGCAAGACGTCACTCCGCTGTACCCCCCCAGCAGCCCTCAAAAGTGGCGACAATTTCGCAGATCGCAGCCCCCAAAGGATGGCGAGGTCTCATTTGAGTCGGCGTAAGACGTCACTCCGCTGGGCCCCCCAGCAGCCCTCGAAAGTGGCGACAACTTTGCAGATCGCAGCCCCCCAGGGATGGCCAGGTAGGAGGCACGCTAGCACGCAAGAGGGAGCGAAGTGAAAGGCAGGAGAAAAGAGGAGGGGAGAAAGGGGGCGGGAGAAGGAGACGACGCGCGGGCAGTGATCTGTTCGAAACGAGAACCCAACGCAGGAGGGTTGGGAACAACTGCCTCCAAGACGCCCCCGAGACGCCTCCCTGGAGACCCCATCAACCATCACAGTGACCCCAGGCCCGCAACCCAAGCACTGTGACGGGATATGCCGAAGAACATTCGATAATCAGTCGTCTGGTGTTTTGACAGATGCCCCCTGTCTGTATACGCGGGTTCTCGCCTCATGCCCCATGCGTACACAGCGAACCCCGTGAAGCCCCAAAAGAGCTCCAAGAAGCCTTCGAACAGCGCACAGGAGGCCCTCAAGAGCAACACACAACAACCGCCAGTTCCGCAAGGGGTCGGCGGTGTGGCGTAAGCCCAATGATCAAACTGCGGGATCTGTATCTCGCCACGGATTTACGGGAACCCAACTTTAGTATGAGTGTGATCTTGATCGTTAGAATATATCAGGGGGCGGAATCTCGGCCAAACCACGCACGGCGGGTGACGCGTTAGGCTTCTAGGGGGGCAAGGGGGTTCTATGCCTCCTGAGCTCCCGTCCCTCTCAGGGCGGCCGTCGCAGTAAGCTGGTGTTTGATAGCAGCATCCGCATTCGGGTGCGCTGGCAGAAGTTCAAGGAACGTTCGGCACGGCGATGTAGCCACCACCCGGAATGCTGCGCTGCCACGGTGGCGGTGTTTGTCGCAGGCCGCTGGATAGTGGAATAGCATCGGATCGAGCGGGCCAGAACCGCAGCAGAATCGAACCAATCGGATCGAAATTGGCACTGACCCAAGTATTCTGGCTTGGCGCCTCTCGATGCGCGAATCGGCGCGGTTCTCTTCGCTAGCTCGCGCCCCTGCCCCCTGAAGAATAGCGGCTCGGATGCCCAGACATCGAAGCGCGAAACACGAGGCGCGGATTGTCCTCGCGCCCCTGCGAGTGACCTAAACAACTCACGTCAGCACTCTCGCAGCGCGGGCTGGAATCTCCCACTGACGACGCGGGAGACTGAAAGGGACAAGGAGGAGGACGAGGTCGACGACGACGACGCCGACGAGGCGAGGGGAGAACTGTCAGGAAGAGGATGACGAGACATGGTGCTCGCAATTGTTTCTGGTGGTCAGGGCCGAAGTAGGTTGGAAAATCATAGGTTGAGGAGGAG